ATAATTGAATCTGCTTTGCCTAATATACAAGAAATATTTGAATACAAAGAAATCAATAAATAATGGCAGCAGAGTTACAGCTTACCCTCTACTGTATATTATATAAAATTAAATTTTTGATAACTCTGAAGTTCATGTCAATTATTATCTACAGATGTCTGCTTATGTACAAGATGATGAGAATGCTAAATGAAGTAGAAGCTTTGACTAATTCTAATTCCATACACACACACACACACACACACACACACATAATGTGCTTATTCCTTCAAGTGTTTCCAGTTTTCTGGAAATACTAGACTAGACATTTATAACTAGACATTACCCTCTGCACTTCCTGAAAAGATGTTGTCAGGGATCTGGGGCCTTTCCGTAGAGGACCGGAACAATAAAGAGAGAAGAAACAAATAGCAGTGTGGCTTCTCCAGTGCTCTTCTTGCAGCAGAACTGCAACTGGCTACTAGTACTTTCTCTGCTGTTCACAAGTTGGCTAATTTGGGCCCAACATATACTTTTAGGGTGCTACTGAAATGGATGCTAATGTGCACATAAAAATTAAATGCTTCTTACAGGATATCAATATTTTTCTTATTATGTAATAGCTTTTCCCAGCCATCTAAAAACTGCTAGTATTCCTATACACAATCATGACATTCAGTAGTGATTACTTTTACAATTAAACCAAAATGATTATTGTTTTCATAAACATATTAATTGATAGTTAATAGGGTGGTTAATAAGGAAAGAAAAATAAACCCAGCAATATCATATGAATTATTTATTAAGCATCCTAAACAACATATCAATTGGTTTGTGTTATTCTTTCTCTAGGATTGAGTAGACCTGTAATAAAAAAATCTTATGACATGTTAGCTTCTTCTTATTGCTGCTTATCTTGGGCAGAATCAGACACTCCTCCACATCACCTCTTATGCTGGCCACAAACCTTTCCATCTGGTCTCTAGTAATTGATTACATTTTAAAAATCACTACAACCAAATTACCCTTGAAATGGTCTTTAATAATGCTCAATTCAACACGCCTGACAAATCATTGATGTATAAACTAAGCAAATGGATAGGCATTCTTTTAACAATAGCCATTAAATGAGTGTTATCAAGGTTACAGAATTCAATATTATTAAACGTTGACCATCCATTTTAGAAAATTCTCCCTCTAGTGAATGTATATACTGAAAAAAAAATAATGTCTTGAAAAATCACTCATATCATAATTTGGCATTATAAAATATAAAATAAAAATTTAAATAATTAAATAACTATTATTTACAATAATTATATAATTATAGTAAAATGAGTGTGCCACTCATACTGTGAGGTGCATGTACTCAAGTGAGCTGGTATAGTAACAATAATTGAGCTTGGCATTATGAAAATAAACCTCTGTCCCATATACTGCTTGTACTTCTCCCTTTCTTTTGAGGTTTTTTTTTAGATTTTTTATTTCGCCTTTATTATTTTTATAAATAACTCAAGGTGGCAAACATACCTAATACTCTTTCCTCCTCTTATTTTCCCCATGACAACCACCCTGTGAGATGGGCTGAGAGAGAGTGACTGGCCTAAAGTCACCTAGCAGGCTTTCATGCCTAAGGTGGGACTAGAACTCACAGTCTCCTGGTTTTTAGCCTGGACCTTAGTGCCTTTACCACTACACGAAACTGTCTTGTTAGTCAACAGTTCCATTGGATTAATATCAGCTTCATCATATGTTTTGTTTTGGTATCTTTTGCTATAAATTTCTGTTACTGTATTTCCTATTTTTATAGCCTACTCCAATCAGAAAACTCTGGGTCAGTTACAACAGAATAAATACAGAACAGTACAGAACAATAAATGAACTGTAAACACCTCCCCCCAAATGGATGCTTCTAGCAATAAAGTAGGGTCCAAATCTTGATAGTCTCCAGATACCTTGATAGCCTCCAACCTCCCAACATTTGCAGGCAGCCCAACAGAATATAATGACTGATGGTATCAAAAGCCAACAAGAGGTCCTAAAGGACCAAGAATAACACACTTCCCTCTCTGAGATCCCAAAGGAAGCCCTGTTCACTTTACTGAGTGTAATAAGTTAAAAAGACTGTCTGATAACAGTACAGGATCCAGATTTGCTCACCATATTGGATTCTGTCCAACTCACATCCAGTCCAGAGGGGATGTGAGTGATTTTATCTGCCAAGAAAACCACAAAATCATTCACTGAGCCCGCAGGTGTCTTATCCCACCCATTTTTCCCTAAAAAAACCTCTGATAGCTGTGAATGAGGCTGCTGGGAGAAAATCTGTGAATGCAGTAAATGCAGAGAATTCATGCTTTGCTTCTCTTATTGCTGTCATATAGGCTTAGAAATGAACCCTTACCAATACACAGTCTTGTCCACTTCTGATTTTCTGCCACTGCTGCTGAGGGTGTCTTTTTAGTCACTTCATTTCCCTAAATTCTTCAGTCAACCAAGGGGCCACCCAGGATCAGCAGTTGGGAGGAGGCCTTACAGGAACAATCCCATTGAGCACTCTAGTAGCCTCCATGTTCTAGAGGTCCACCAGACACAAGGTGGTGTTGTGGTTGTGGTTGTTTTTCCTAGCATTTTGAACATTAGTGATACCTATAACTTAAGAGAAATTGCAAGGTGATGTTAAGATAACTTGGAGGAATGTTGGAGAGAGGGCAACATACACACACATACACATATGCATGAACATACACATGTACCTATGTGTACCTTTGTGTATGTGTTTGTGTATGTGTTTGTATGTGTGTACTTTACACATACACAATCACGCAGACACATGTGCATGTACCTTTAAACAGATTTTACTGACGGGAGTGGTATATTATTAGAATTCAATTTCTTTGCTGGCATTTTTGAAGTATCTACTTTCTGAAATTCAGAAGGTTATATAATACATTCAAAATATATTCCAGAGACTGTTCATGCCTTAAACATCAAGACATTATTCCAAAAAATTAACTGTTTATTAGGTTTACCAAGGTTTCTGTTAGAGATGGCTTCTATATTCTTAATCAATTATATAGATTTAACAGCAGCTATCTACTCTGTTATTCCTATTACCTTTTATCCTGCCATTTATAACACAAGTCCTTTTTCATCCCACTGCTCATAAGGGAGAAGGCAAAAAAGTGCAGTAGGGATTTAATGGACTATACACTGACCTCAGCTGAGAAGTAGCAAGCACAATAGAAAATAGTAAATAAATACATGGCTGGATTCTTTTGCAGCCACTAGGTTTTGACAAGGGGTTTAATATTGAAGAAAGTCTTGCACAAGAATCCTGACTGCTATATTAAAAGTTTGTATTCTAAGGTTTGTTTCTGTACTGAAGAGTTTTAGTTAATGGGCTGGATTCAATGGATCCAAATAATTCAGTGACTCACTCTGGATGCTATTTTGCCAATAGAAAAGATTCTTAATATCCCAGATTCTCTGACATCCCTAGAAGTTTCTACAGAGTGACAAGTGGGAGGAAAAAGACTAGAAGTCTTATAGCACAAGCAAAATTGCACTCATTTTATATAATATGATGTACAGGATTCGTTTGACATGTTTAACTATGCTACATGTGAAGTAACTAAAGTAGCTTCCCCTAGTCAGCAGTGTAATGCAAACCCTCCATTAAATTTCTCTTTTCATGTTGGCACAAAAATGAGTACTTAAATCAACCCTAAAAAAAGAAGTCTTCTCTAGGAACTCCTTCTCTATGATTTTGGTAACCATACAAATACACACACATACAGACAATATAGACACACACATGCATGCACATATCATAGTCACCTAGGTGTGTGTGAAATGTGGGCAGAAAGAGTAGGAGAGGATAAGCCTTCTCCATTTTGTCCATGGTGGTTTAACCTTGATTAGGTTATTTCCATGGAATGTTTATAACGTTTTTTTTTTCAATAAAAAAGAGACAAAGTGGCAACCTCTCAGCCGTGGCTGGTCTCCATTTGATCAGGGCATCCCTGAGCCATAACATGCAGGGGAAAAGTATGAATGGAAATTACATAAATGATTCATAATGATAATAATGAAAGAAAAGCATAATAGAGTCATGAGAAATATTGGTTTAATTCTTGTGTATAATTTTTCTGTCTTGCAGTTCTTGTTGCTGATTTGCTAGTTTATGTTCCTGCAGTAATTTTATACTGCTGTTATTTAAAAGAGACATCGGTGAAAAAGAAGGTTAGTATGATTTTTTTCCTTGCAACAAATAATAATTTTTCTATGAGAAAAAAGGAAGGAATGTAGTGAATAATCAAATAAATAATAAATATTAGTTCAATTATGATTAAAAACATTGATCTGACAATGTTTATTGCAGTGTCTCACAAGAAACAAATACAAGTTGACCTATCTATATATAATAAAAGAAACAAGGATTGCAAAATTAAAATATGCAGCATGATCCTAAAATATATTTACTGAGAAGTAGGTTCTATTAAATTCAATAGATTATATCCAAATGTGGCCTTAGTTGTTTTCTTTTGTTTTTATTATATTATTTTTACTCTATTTTTTTAAAAAATGCCCAAGGAAGCTTAAAGTATATTAAAATAAAATTAGAACAAAAAAGCAAAGAACAAAACTTTAACACTTATATGAGATATATCTGTACAAGATCAGTGTTATATATTTGACATAGTGCTGATTAGTACAGGGGTAAGCAAGGCTTGGTTTGTATTCCTTAGATTTTCAATTGATTGATTAAATGTGACTCTTATTCATGTTTTAAGAGTAGCCTGTGTACCAACTGAAATTCATAAAAGGCCTTTCTGACTACTGCTGCCCTGTGCTTCCACAAATAGTAAGAATAAAGAAGCACTAAGTCCTTTAAGACAGTGGAACCCCATGCAAGACTGTTGAATTCCTTTACAGGAAATTTTCCTACCCACATTACTTTTATCTTGCTTTAGCTTATTCAGTCTTAACTACTGTAAAACTATTTCAAGTACGTATTCAGCTATTCTGTAGCCTGAGATTAAAAGATGGGAAAACAGAGGCAGAATTGCCTGCCATCTCATATTAATTTGTTTAAAAAAATTATTGCAGTTTTAAATACAGAGAAAACAATGTATAAAATTAAAAGAAAAATCATTTAGTTATGAAATTATAAAACAAATAAAATAACCCCCCAAATAATTATAAATTGCCTACATATGTGTCATTCCTTTCTAATGACAATGCAACCCAAATTCCAGGTATTTTCTCCCATCCTCAGTGTGCAGATATTAAACAATCAATGGCATGAGGATAAAATAAAACTTTGCACTACTCCACAGGTCAGTGGCTGCTGAGAAGAGCACGTGTTTCAAAGCACTGTCTCAAACTATTCTGCCAGAATGGATCAGCATCACCTTTCAGTTCAATCCAGCTAGGCTACGTAGAAGGATATCACCGTTGATTCTATCAAAAAATGTTGAGTCCTGAAAACTAGAGGGTTGCCTAGATCTAGAACTAGGCCTTAAATCAAATTTGCATGGATTAAAATTGTGCAGGACTGCTCCAGAATCTTATTCAAGACTTAGGATGGATAGCTGAATCAAATTTGGCTTTTTCAAGAAGTTCTTAACTATAATCTCTTTAGGCCTGGGAGGCAGCATTCTTACTCTCAAAATATATATTATTTCTCAAATCCAAATTCTTAGTCCTGTCCTGATAAGAGATGGAGCAGCATTTAAAATATAGGAAGTAGACATCAGCTCTCATAAATCTTTTCCACATCTTCAGATTGCACAAATAATTATAGTCATAAAAACAGAAATAAACAGTGCTTGGCATGGTATTGCCTATACCAGCTTTAACTGCATCCATCTTTAAATCTAAATAGAATTCAGATTTTGGCAAAACATAAAAGAAGATCTTAGAGTAGGAAAAGGCAGTTAATGAGTCTCATGAGGCCTCACTGAGTGCCCCAGATCGTGCAGCTGAAATTCAGCAGTATGAATTTTGAAACTTCACTGGGTTTCCAAAAAGTGAAGAAGAAATCCCTTAAGCTTCTGTGATGCTTAACATACCTATTTTGTTCCTATAACCTTTCCCATAACCCCCCCCCAAGAAAAAAATGTCCATATTTGATCCCACCTCCAACAGCATGATCATATACATCTCTTATGATCCTTAAGGACTGAATTTTTTTTTTTTAAATAAATAAATTATAGCCCCTAGCTGGGGCAGATTATTCACTTTTTGTTTATGAATTTAGAAAAGGTATACAGAAGTAATAGGCACTGCCAATTTAATAACAGCAATATACAATAACAGCCACACAGTGTAAGATGATGATGATGATGATGATGATGATGATGATGATGATGATGATTTATAGTAAACCTTACAATTAATATAATATTCCTGGCACTGAAAGTTTTGTATGGGATTGGTGGTCTCAAAGATATCCTGTTTTAGCTAGCTAGCGGGGTTGGGCAAGTCCAAAAATGGCAGAGGTAAGCCAACAGAGAACCCTGACCACTTCCTTGTGAGTCACAGGCTCAAAAGCTTCCCAGGTAACACTACAAGACACTACCTCTGCCATCTCATGAGATCCTGTCCACATAGTGTCCACCTCAGAGCAGCTGTGAGTGGTTTTGTACATAAAATAATCAGTGAGACATGCCATTCTTGTCTAGTGTGTGCTTGTATCAGATAAAGTAGTATTTTACTGTTGCCTACTATACCTTCTAATTCCTTGGCCCAAACAAATCTCAGATCTTCTTGTAGTGAAATGCTGTGTGCCATAATAATTTTATTTTGTTTCTGAGTCTCACATGTCTACCCTCAGCCATGAAAGCTTGTTGGATGACTTTGGGCCCATTATACTCTCTTAGTCCAACCTCCCTCACAGAACTGTTGTAGGGAAAAATGAAAGGAGGGAGTGTCATATACACTGCTTTGAGTTTGTGAACAAAAGGCGGGATATAAATTTAATAAACTTTAAACGTGAGGTAATTGAGTTGCACTTTTGAAAAATAATCTAAAACAAAATAGTATCCATTGCAACACTGGATTTTAACACTATTTTGGATCTTTTTAGATGGCAGAAGTTAAATGGGTTGACAATACCAGTTACATAATCTTTCTAAAGAACAATAAATATTTTGTTTTGTTGATTTTTTTTTTTTTTTGTTTCCAGATTTCTAGTGCTCTCTGCACATTGCTTTATCCAGGTCTCATTCTGATTGACTATGGACATTTTCAGTATCTTTTCATATTTTGTGAAGACAATTTTTTGTAAAGTATTAATTTTGTGAAATAAGTCTGATGCTGTGTGTGGGTAAGAAGGGGAGGGGAAATGAGGACCATCAAAGCAACAAGTAGCATATCTAGAGTGAAAGCTGCATTTTTCTTATGCCCTGTTTTATTATTTTAAAACATCAGAATTGTTTTCATGCCATCTCGGAATTATGCTGTGCTACCTCTGTGGTGTGGAGAGTAGGTTTTGGTGGCAGCAGACAAGAAGAGAATTCTGTTACAGTTGCATATTCTCTATAAGCAAGTTCTTTACAGATCGTTGTCCTTAACAGAACAAACATATATAATTCTGTGAGTCTTGGTTTTGCTTTGTGGGGAGTGCTGTTTCTCTCTTATGACTTTGACCTTTCGGGCTCAATAGCGTTTTGTTTAGCTATAAACTACAAACAAATGGAGCTCTACCATGCTCTGCCCTTCTTCTGCTACCTGCTGGGAAAGTGCTTCAAAAAAGGCCTGATGGGCAAGGGGTGAGTATCTTTAAAAGTTGACATCCAGAAAATGGTCCTGGAATGCACTTAGGCTGTTTTGCCTTGGGAATTTGTGCATGTCATTCATTTCTTGATTAGCTTTTGGAATAGGGATTCATGTCATTATAATGCTTTATCCCCCTTCCCCCAGAGAAGCATGTTTCTCCTAAGTCATTAAATAACATACTAAATAGTTTTAAGAGTGTCCATAGTGTATCAAAATACACACAACTATCTTTTCTCTTCAACACCTGTCATTAGTTAAGCACAGGTCACAAATGTATACCCATATTTAGAAGATAAGAGTTTAGCATGTTTTTTTCTTATTTCGGGGGGCGGGTGGGGAGAGCATACTTAACAGTTTTCTTAACTCTTCTAGTAGATTTCCTACTTGGGAAAGTAAGCTTTACGTTTGAAAGTACCTTATATAAAATTCTTTTTCTTCATTCAGGGCTTGATTTTTTTTCCTCTCTTTTTCTTACAGGTTATGGTTGTTGATGAAACTGGCTTTTATTGTCATTCTTTCTTTTGCTGTCTGCTGGTTCCCATTTTGTACAGACATTGAACAAATTTTGCAAGTGCTCAGAAGGCTCTTTCCAGTAGATCGAGGTTTGTTTGAGGTATGCCTCACGTCCCCCCTCCCAAGCTTCTCATAAATGTTTTATATTTTTAGCTCCCTTGAGAAACCTTCACTTTGACCCTTAGGGATTTCATGTGGAAGATACACCAGAAGGCTAGTAATATGATCTGGCTTCTCTGGCCGTCATTTCTTGCCAGTTATTTAATCCAGCATTTAACCCCTAGCTCAGCTGACATCTTCTAGGATATTATACAAATAGACAGCATTAATCCCATCGTCAGATCTATAGTTCAGACATACATTTTTGAAATATATTCCACATTAATATATGGTGGTCCTTGCACAATCTAGAGGATTTTTTAAAATTAATCAATTAATTAAACATGAAAAATGAATTCAAAATTTCTTTTTCTTTTTCTTTTAAAACTCTTCCAAAATAGACATTGGGTTGATGCTCAAATTTTGCATGGTTTAAATTTGTCCTGGTAGAAATTTTGCAACTTGCTTGGCTGAAGTAAAACCTGAAGATGTTGACCATAAAGTAGATGGTTTTATTACTGGTGTGACATTTATTAATTTGTTTGCACCAGACAGAGGAATAGTGATACAGTTTGCAGCAGACTTACATCTGAAAACCATTAAGAAGCATAGCAGTGGTGCTGGCACATTTAACTCTTAAGATCTTATCCCCCAGTTATACACTGACTGAAATGTTACACGATGAAATCGAAATAGAAATGTTACATGAAGAATAGAAATCCATAAACCAAAGAACTGTCAACCAGTTTGTTTTCCTGGCTGTTAATCTCACGTTATGCTTTAAAAACAAAAGAAACACACTGTAGATTTTAATGAAATGGATCTACGTGATTTAAAAACTTCACACAATTTATTCAGTGTAGGCTGAAAAATTTTTAGAGCTGGCAGAGTGGCTGATTGGGATATTAATCTGGATAAACTAAGAAACTGTCTACCTAAGCAATCCACAGTAAGTTTATACTGGGTTGCTTATGACAGGTTCTTTGAATGGATTCCCATTTACAGAGATGTCTTCAAATGCTGATAGTTGTAAAACTTCACTGGCCATTAAGCCGGCACCTTATATGCCAGTGGGTGCTGCCAAGCACTTGTCACCTTCAGCAAATTTGCAGGGTGCGTTCTGTATTCTTGCAAGAGAACAAGGAGATTGTTCAGTTGTTTGTAGTAGCTCTTCTGCTGTTATGTCTACACAGCTGTGATTCAAGCAGCTGTTTAGGGATGAGTTTCATGAGCATGCTAGCTGTGTGGTTACAAATTTAATTTGGAAAGTGATCCTAGCACAACTGCTAATGTCTTTAGACTTCTTGATTTATTAGGGGTTAACTCTGTCATTGCTGGCAGCTAGCAAGCGGAGCTAAATATGTACTAGTAAGAGAATGTGGCAGAATATAGCGTGGCTTCACATTTGGAAAAATGCTTCATGTTTCTTTTTTAAAGTATCGATAATGCCTAGTTATAGGTAGTTGTATAGTATCCATAGCCTGTGGTCTCCTCAAAAATCCATGATTTTGTGACAAGAGCACACATATGCACTTAATTTCATGCAAATGGTCTCTGCCATTCCATGTATATAAAATTATGCACATCTCTACCTTCAAATGAATATAATATGTTAAATGTATTTACAGGATAAAGTAGCCAATATTTGGTGCACTATAAGCGTCCTTTTCAAAATAAAGACATTCCTGACAACAGAAATACAACTTAAATTAAGGTATGTAAAATTCCTCAAGCAGCTTTATATTATGGTTTTGGCAGAAGATGTATTTCAAAGAACATAAATAATTTACAGTTTTGATACTAGTTAAACAACCTTAATAAAAAAGTGATTATTTTAACATTTTGTGGTGCTGTTCTCTGCTTGTTGGTTTATTAATTTGCGATTTTATAAGGAATCTTATTTCTTATTTATTTCTCTTATTTATTTCTCTTCAATAACTATAAAAACTGAGCAATACCAAGGTGTTCTTAAACAATGCTCATCTGATTCTTGATTTAGGGTTAATCCAGTTATTGAAATCAACAGTTGTAATGTGATGAAATTATTACTTTATTTTTAGTTTTGCTTTAACATTCCTGACCGTACTTCCCAGTTGCATAAAACTGACTCTGCAACCTTCTCTCAGAGGATTCAAATATGGCTTGGTAAGTGTATGATAACACATATTTAAATATAAAAATTCATAGTTTTGTAATAACATAATAGTCTCTGTTCTTCCATTTATCTCTATTATTAGGGATGTGGAGAAGTGAGGAAGGACAATTCCCGCCAGTGAATCCCTATAAGAGTGTCAGTTGGGCAAAATGCTGCTGACTGTTCCATTCTTAACCCTCCTTCCTGCTTCTACCTGATTGTGTGATCTAGCATGGAGACTAAGGGGTTGGACACACTGTGCGCTTTCTCTAACTTATTTATTATTTCCAAAGTTGAAGAAATTATGTAAAGGAGCCTGGGATTCTGTCTGTCCATCAGCAGGATAACTCTTTAAAAACTGAATAGAACAAACCAAATGTGGAGTAGTGGGGAGAATTCAGCAAAAGGATCAAATTAAAAAATGGGCTGGACCTATCTGAAGGCTGGAGAGAAAAAAAAATCCTGAAAAATGTATCCAGTCCAATCCTGTGGAAGAGATAGCTGGGCAATGGCCTGAAATGCTACTGACTGTTCCAGTCTAAGCCCCCTCCCTCTTGGCCATGTAATCCAGAGCTTCCCAGTGCACGCATACACACAGATACAGCGCAAGGAGAGAACAGAAATACACACCCAAATATTCGCATTATTTTGTTACACAATAGAAAATGTAGAGAGCCAGTGTAGTATAGTGGTTAAGGAGTTGGACTAGGAGATCAAGTTTCTAGTCTGTCCTCAGCCATGGAAGCTCACTGAGTGACTTTGGATCAATCAATTGCCCTTACCTTGGCCTACCTAACAGAGATTTTGTTGTCGGGAAAAATAGGGGGAGGGAGCACTATGCACACTGCCCTGAGCTCTTGGATGACAGGCTGGATTAAATCTAATAAATAAATATGAGAATATAGATTATTCTTATGGCTACAGCTGGTAGAAGCCATGTTCTGCATGCATTATCTACCTTGTTTAATTTACAGCTTTGTCTAGAAAGTTCTTTAACTAGTCTTCCACTATTGAATATTGTCTAGGGAATTGAGTATCTTCACCATTTCTTCAATGAAGCATTCCTAATAATTGTAGTCCTTCAGCCTTTGGCATAGGGAATGTCTCTCTGTTGTTATTATGTTTATTATTTTATATCATACTTCCTCCGAAAGGAGGCTGTCAGAGGTAACTTAAAACTCCATATTTTATTCCTTTCTTTCACCAACAGTTCCTTTAATTTTCCATTATTAAAGCAAAATATGAAGTAAAATTGGTAAAAACAAGTTGGGATGAAATATTTATTTAGTGAAGGTACAAACTGTATTGTATTGTTGGGAATCATCATAAAGTAGAAGGGATCTTACTGGTTATTTTGTGCAGAGAATCCTGAGTTAGGAAAATATTCCAAATCTATCTTTTATAATGCTTTGTCTCCCATCTTATGGTATCTTGTCCATTTTTAAAGATTTGTGTTTTGTTTTAAAGATATTCTGAAAGCACTTCAGCAAGTTCTTTTAGTATCCTAGAATGCATTTTATGAGAGCTTAATAGCTAACAATTTGTGGAGTCCTTGGCACTGATGATGTTACCTAGTTGGGTAATGAAACGTCTGCAAGCAGACAGCCAAGCTCAGAGAGCACCAAGGACTCCACAGTTCAACCCTGAGCTACATATATTCTCTTTTATTGGAGCTAGATATTTTTCTATCAACTCTTTATGGATCTTCAACTATGGTCCCTAATCTGTCATCATCTACTTGCACAAAAAGTTAGGAGATATTCACCTCCATAGACATTACTACAGGAGTCTATTTATCACGTCCCTGGATATCGTACATAATCCAAGGAAAACCTCATTCCCAATGATATCTTATTGAACAGTAAAGTTGGGTAATGAATAACATGGTCAAATGATAGGCCCATATCCTGTTAGTGGTCCTTGACATGGGGCAGCTACCTACCTCCATCATATAGCAGAACACTCAAAAGCTAAAATGCCATTAAAACTGACCATAAAATCTCAGCCAAATTTCTAATACTATATTTCAGATCAGAGAGGGAAAGTAGAGGGCTACCATATCAATTTGTCTAGATTGGTTAGTTTGTACATCAGTTATTTGTCTGTTGTGCTGATTAGTTTAGATGCACTGGTGAGTCGCCTGGCTGATGGCTCATGCTAGGAATTCTCATCAACAGCCAATCAGATAATAAAGGCATCCAGGAGTATATGCTACTAATTTAAAGCTTTTTATTATCTTTTATCTATTATTATTATATAATTATCTATTATTTTTATTATCTTTATTACTTGGCCAAGTAGTCATATTTTATGATATAAATAAAAGCTTTGGTGATAAAAGTGCAGAATTCACCATGTACTAAAATATCGCTTATTGAAATCCTGAAATAATATTTTTAAAAACTAGTAACACTTCAGCCTTCTATATGTTTAAGTGTGTCATTGAAGGATACAAGTATTTTTTTGTAACGTATGTTAAGAACTTCAGTTTAAACTAAGTTTCAGGCTAACCATGTAATCACCAAGTGAAGCCAATAATAGATTTCACATTTCATGCTTTTTAAAATGGCATTACTTTCTTTGAGATTTTTGTATATACAGTAATGGCATATACTGTACAATACTTACTTCAGAATAGTCTTGATTCTGTTGTCTGATTTCTGAAATGTACTTAGATTTAGCATAAAACAGTTTTGAATACTGTTTGGCCACGATTGACGAATAGCACAAAAATCCTCTACATAGACCTGTCAATAAAAGTAAAAGCAGATCTTGTTGTCTAGCATTTAACATTGTTAACTTCCTTTCTCAAAGGTTTGCTGTGCATTGTCTTTCTTTCTCTTCTCATTCCAAGTGCATGAAAAATCTATTCTTCTTGTTTCAATGTAAGTAGTATTTTATACCTTTATAACACTTCACAATGGTACCTGGAAATATGTGTGTGTAAACTGTAGTGCTGACAAAGAGGTTCTAGAATAAGGCTCAAGCTCCTACACAAGGACTAATAAATTTTTATAGTCTGTGAGCTGTGTGTCTATGTGAATTTCTGCTCTCCCATTCTGATAGAATCAGGAATGTGAAATCATAGACTTTTCTTACTTCACAGAATACTGAGTGTGCATTGAAGCTGTAGCTGATCAGCAGTGACCATGCAGCCAGATTCTTGTATTGCAGAGCTGTCAAGGGAGAGTTGGAGAATTGCTTATCCCCATAGAAAGATGCAGACTTCAGTGTTATTCATTTTATTCTTTTTATTATATAATAAATGGGAAGTGTGAGCAGCAGCTGAAATTATTACATTTCTTAAACAATGCTTTTGTGCTTATATTTCTGTTTTCTCCTTAGACCAGTCTGCTTAGTTATACATGAAATTCCTTTTATGTCTACATGGTTCCTTCTAGTTTCAACTTTCAGGTGAGTTTGAATGTTATGTCTAAACAATTCTTCATACTTTGAGAAGACATTTTAAGATTTATTTTACATTGTAATTTTTTTTTTGGTTGTATAACATTGCTAGAATTCACAGTAATTCATGTTTCCCTTTACAGCATGCTTCCCCTTCTATTAAAGGATGGCCTTCTTTTGTCTTACACTGTAACAATGTTGGCTTTTCTCATGGTGTGTACAACTTCTTTTTCAATATTTGAAAAAACATCTGAAGAAGATCTGCAGCTAAAAAGACTTTCCACTTCCATAAGAAGATACATTCCTTGGTTTAAGACATTTTCAAAAGTTATGAAGAGTTTAGTAAGTAACTGTTACAAAAATATATTATGTGCACTAATTTTACCAAGAGTATATTTGTGTTTTGCATTTGTTTATGTTTCTTACCAAAGCATAAACCACCAAATAGATTTGACAAACTTCCCAGTTGCCCTGTTGAATTCCATTGTATAGAAATGCTGTTAACGAAGAATTGCTAGAACATGTATCTTTTCAGTATCACTTCTGGGCAGCATCTAGCAGCTTATAATCATAATCCTTCAAGGTGACTGATAAAATGGACTCCTTCATCCCTGTGCACTAGCGCGTTCCTAATGCAGTGAGCACTTTATATACATTAGCAATATTAGGATTTTTTTTTTTTACTTGAAAAATTCGTACATTTAATGTTATTTTATTGGCACCAACCTTGGCAACTGGTAAATGTGATGTTGTGCTGCAGAGACACTGAATTCATTGAAATATCTTATGTAAGGATGATAAAAACGACACCTAAGCAATGAAACCACTAATTGGGCATTGTAAAATAGTGGTAACCATAATGTCTTTTCTCTTCTCCTACCCCAACATTCAGTTCTTCATTTCAGTAACTCTGATGGGCATCCTGACTCTGATCAGCGCTACGATGGAACCTCCAAAGCGACTCCCAGATTTATTTCCACTAGCTGTCTCTGTTGTATCCTGCTTGCACTTTCTCTTTTTCTTACTGTATTTTAACATCATTGCAATGTGGGAATCAAAAGATGGCCGAAACCAGAAAAAAATAAGTTAGTTAGAAGTGCCAGCTTGGAAAACTAATGGCTCTTATTGGGGGCACACCATTAATATTTCCATAGACCTTTGTCTTAAAGTGTTCTATAATGGAGTGTAATTTTTTTTTGTAATTTCATGTATTTTCTAAGAAAACCCAGATGAAAATATTTACATGTCAATATGTGCTGTTTCACAAGAGATTTGTGCTTACTGCGCTTTTCTGCGCAGTAAAAAAGAGGCAGAACACTTGACAACTCATTCAAAATAAATCTTGAAAATAAGAAGCATCTTAGCAATCTGTGCGAGTTTATTTTAAACAGATATAACACCCAAATAATTTAATAATGTTATGAGTGAATTGGTTTAATGAACTTCCCAAAATAAAACATGTTGAAGTTACTGATTGTATGTTACAGTAATCACTCATGACTATTGCTACTAAATGCTGTCTCTTACAGTATATTTGATTACATACAATAAACTTCCTTATACTAAATTTCAGTATCCTCTCTATTACATGCTTAAAATCATCAAAGTTAGTAATCATGATTCAGTGTCATGGTTCATGCTTTCCTGACAGTCTCATTTCAGTATTAACCTCTGTAGTATTTGAAGGCCCTAACAAGAGTTATGGCTAATATTTTTCATATATCAACACGTAAACCTGGAGATCTACACACACACACACACACACATCAGGATAGTGTCATGATGGTTCAGATGTTGGATTAGGAGTAGGAAACCTGGGTTCTAGTCCTCCCTTAGGCCCAGAAGCTGGTTGGGTAATTTTGGGCCAGTCACGCTTTCTCTTCCTTTGGAAAGCTGAAAAACATCTATCTACCAGTGTGCTGGACTAGCACGGTAGATTATGTAGAGTATGGTCCATAGCCTTTAATGAAGAGGCCTTTGTCCTTCAGTAGACTGAGAGAGAAAGAGAACCTCAGTTCAGCACTAAAACAAGAATGCTTAATTAATAGATCACTGAGAGAAGCTCAAATCAGGCTGCAAAATCAGGTTGTTTTGTAAATCCTCTTGTAATGGACTTGACTTTTCATGGTGTGGCTGATTGAAGGGGTCTTTGGAATACAAGGCTCTAACAAAAAAATTGTTTCTTTGATTTTTTTTTATTATCTTACAAGTTCTGACTAATGGAACACTTAAAATAATTTTGCATTTCTGTTATATATGCATATCCTCAATAGAGATGCAAGTAAGTAAATCTTCTTAGCCAAAGATCCATGTTCAGTTGAGCTTGGGTATCATTCTCTCTTTCTCTTCCCTTTTTCTTATTGTATAGGTATGTATGTATGCTTGCTTGTTTGTTAGCTTGCCCTAGGCTTTAGATCATAATTCTCGGATGTATGTAAACTTGTAAGTTCTGAGGAAATGGATAGGGTTCTCTGACATCAGCTCCACCACCTGTAGTCTGGATCCCTAGCATTTCTAATTGGTAAAAGTGACCAGGTAACTGATTAGGGGCTGGGTTGAGGTACAGTAACGGAAAATGCATATTTGCAGTGGTTCTCTTCCTTCCTAAAGGGTTAGTTTCATTTAGTAGTGGTAGGAGGGAGATATTGTTTTAATGGTGCCGTAGGGCTTGATGGTCTACCTCTGTTTAACACCTGCATGAAGCCACAGAGTGAAGTATCATCAGTCTGCACATGGTAGTCCACTTACTGTATATCTTGACCCCAGGCCAAATAGATGATGTCATCAAAGTGTTATTCTGATGCCTGGAGACTGCTAGGAACTGGATGGGGAGGAACAGCCTCAATTCCAGCAAGACAAAATAGCTTTAGTTTCAGTATTTATCCAATTGCAGAGAAATTTCTTCTTTAGTTCTGGGCAGGGTCACGCTCCCCTGTATGGAACTATCCCATAATTTGGGAACCCTCCTTGACTCACAGCTCTGTTTGATGAGGGGTGCCAGTCGTGGTTAGAAAGGCACTTATACAGCTCCATCTGGTGCCCCAGTTGTGACTCATCCTAGAGTGGGAGAATTTCTAAAATCACTTCTGGCTTGCACTATTGCAATGTGGTCTTCATGGGGTGTCCTTGAAAAGAAGCTATAAACTGGTCCAGAATGCAGAGGCTCAAGTAGTATTGACTATCCAGTAAGATCTGATACAGCGGGCTCTCTTTATTCCTTTTCTCAGGAAAGGTAATTAACAGGGATCAGGGAACCAAGACTTCTTGATGGCTGGCATCTTTCTGTGGAACAGATTTCCTCTGGGTATCCAAGTGGCACCTATGCTATTGTTTTTTTAGGAAACCAGTTAAAACTTGGTTGTTCCAGAAAGCCTTGGGGGTTGAGAAATTTGTTATTTCCTCTAGCATTGGAGTGTTCGATTAATCTAATTGATATGTGTATATATGCTTGTTTTTTTTATTATTGTAACATCGATATTTTTCTTTTAATTGGATTTCTGCATGTTGGATACTTAGCCTGCTCAGAGGCATCAATGATGAGTATACCTGTTATTAAAAGTAAAGTTGCCACAGATCAAGTGTACTTAAATGCATTAAATTAAAGCAAATTTGTATGATCCACCATGAAGGATGCCTTATGTAAATGGGCCAGTCATGCAAGACTGATTTTCACTGATGTCCCAGATCCATTCTCAGCCTGTACTAGCAATTCAAGCACTATTCCAAGGATTGCCAGACCCCAGGTTTGAGTTGGGAAGCTGGACTACAGCATAGAGGAGCCTAGCCCAGATCTTGCCTTGCTGCCTAGTTTTTATCCACAAACAAAGGCTTTTAGTTTAGGCGGATGCATGTTATAGTACTTCAGAAGAGTATGTAGATGGGCATATATTGATAATCTCGTCATTCTGCCCAAGTACTTATTTTGGTTAATTTCTTCAGGGTAGGAAAGTGTGCACAGCAAGCACTTTTGGTGACAAAGTACTAGTGTCATGTTTCTATTATCTATTATCCTATTCTATCCTTTTCCTCATGCAGTAATCAGAGATCAACAGCAAGTATTCTTCAGCATAGAAAAACATTAGTTTTATGTGTATTTGTCCTTCTGATGGCCTTCAATACAGTGAGAGTTATCTGATATACCTTATGTAGAAAAATGAAATGGTTCTTAACATACCCAGCTATTATTGAAAAGGGGAAAAGCTTAGAACTGGTAACCATGATGCTTTACTAGACTAAGGTTGAAATCCTTTGGAAACCTGTACGGAAGTAAATTCCACCAAAATCAGTTAGACTTAACTTGTAATTAAGCATATTTAGAGTTAGCTATGATGTATACTAAAGTTCTGTCACAACTTAAAGGATGTAATACATTAAACTCCTTGAAATTATGTTGTCATAAATGATTAGCAATTACCTTTTATGAATAATCCCCCTTTCCTGCTTTTAAAACTATGATCAACCTCGTCCTTCAGTGCATATTTTGATATACATACATTTCAGTAGAAAACTATCTTCTTAACACTGAAATGTCAAAATGAAAACAACTGGTAACTGAAAAATTATTAAATAAAAGTGCTACTGTATTAAAATAAAACTTTCTTGTTATAATTTATCAGATTTATATCTTGCTTTTCCTCAGGAACCCAATGTGCCTCCTCCCATTTTTCCCTACAACCACCTTGTGAAATGGGTTGAGCTGAGAGTGTGATTGGCCCAAGGTTATTCAGTGAACTTTCACGGCTGAGGTCATACTTGAACCCACTCCTAGTCCAACACCAGAATCACTACACTAAACTACACTAATTCATACAATTTGAAACTTGAAAAGTCATACAGGTGATGACTTTCTCCAACCATGCCAATATGGTACAGAATAGTCTATACAAGCAGAAGGCACTTTCTACTTTTTGGTTGGTGTTTTTTTTTTTTTTCCTTTTATGCTGTTTCTATAGTGCCTTGTCATGAGTGGCTGTTCAAGAAGCATAAACAGCTGCAGCATGAAGGGAAAAAGGGCTACAATAAAGAATGGTTTATGTACAAAGAGCAAATGCAAATTTAAAGCACCAGTCTCCTATAGGGCTGATATCTCTGTGGTTGGCAGACAGCTACCAATCATGTCAGTATCAAACCTGTATGGAGGAATTATGTAGTCTTGGCTTTTCTCCTGAATATATAGGCTGGTTAACCCTTATGGAGGCCAAATCAATGGTAAAGCATTCACCCATGCTCATGAATTTTATCACCCAATGTTAGACTGCTACAAGCCCTCTATTGCAGTGTATTTACAACCCTGAGTAAGTATAGATGGGCTTTTTGTAAAGCTTGTTTTAATGCTTTTCTGATTTCATGAAATTCCTTATCCTCAGCGACTTTGCCTCTCTGGCTCTAGAGATACACATCATATTATGGTGTCCCTTATATGGTATCCTGAGATGCGCTTTCCTCTTCCCAATTATTTCCAAATGTGAGGGTCATACAGATAAACGTTATGTTCATTTTTTTAAAAGAGATGTTAACTCTTCACTCCCATTCCAGGTTGCCAAACACCTTTATTAGGCTATACAACTACACAAAACATTTGACTTAGATGTGTTCCTCTATTGTTTTATGATAATTGTTGGTAATAGGTTTTCTGTAGCAATCTATTTTCTTTCTCTTATTTGTAAGAGACAGACCATAATAAAGACCGTAATATAGTAAATTTCAAATTTCCAGTCTGCTATACTTAAACTATTAAGCTATCAGTAATTTGGAAAAGCATGTTTTTATAAAGCAAAAAAAATTTCTTCGCTTTCATTCAAAATAATCTGTCTTGAAAAATATTGTTCTAATATGCAGACTGAAATGTGAAATTATTTGTGAGTCCCAATGCATATATGGGTAGTCCTCACTTACCAACAGTAACTGGGAGTGGGAACTCTGTCACTAAGAGATGCAGTCATAAGGCACGATGTCACATGACCATGCCAACTTACAACGGCAGTTCCAGTTGCTGTTGTTCGGTGAATCTGATGCGGTCACTATGTCCTGCAGTCATGTGATCACTATTTGCAACCTCCTGCCAGCTTCCCCATTGACTTTGCTTGTCAGAAGCTGGTAGTGAAGGTTGCAAATGGCGATCACATAATTGCAAGCCGGTTGCAAAGCACCTGAATTGCAATCACATGACCGTGGGGATGTTGCGATGGCTGCAACTACGAGGACCCATCGTAAGTACCCCTCATTCAGTGCCGCTGTAACTTTGGTCACTGAACAAGTGGACATTAAGTATATATGACCTGTATATTAGAACTAGTTTAATTCATTTTTATACCTGCAGGTACTATTTCACAAAAATACTTAATTTTTACAGGACTGAGTTTTAATGTATTTAGTAGTTAACGTTCAAACAACACAAAATAGATACTAACAATTAAAAACTGAACTTCACTGGGAAGCCAACATTGCTAAAATGGCAGTTACAAATATAATGTTTGGAACTCATAAGTCTTTATTAGCAAATGAATGGTTATATCCAAAGATAAATGACACATTTGTTTGAATTTGTGTGTGCTGATAAGATAAACAATGTGCTGTAAGTTGGCAAGGGATCTTCATTGTTTGTGGTAAAATTGGCAGGCCATCAGAGACAGCATGGAGCATATAATTACTGTGAAATTTGCAGTTTGTTTGAAGGCCTGGGAAATAGCATCCATCTCTGAGAGTAGTCCTTCTTCCTAAATGTAGTGAAAAGCTCAATGCAGCATTTTACCAATATATAGCAAGTTTTCTTACTTTTAACTATACAAAAGGAATACAATTTGTGCCATTACATATTTGCATAAAAAGCTATTGCAAAGTGTATTATTTACATTGAGATTAACTGGTTGTACAGATTGTAAAGTTTAAATTAGATGCAAGAAACTGTATCTAGATGTGCACCTGCCTAGTAGACTGAGCAATCCTTAGCTGGTATTTGCTGGAGAGATAGATTTACAGGCGTTTTTTTTAACCTTTTAAGTAGGATCAGGCAGTTGTAGAATCTTGCAACCGAGCTTATTCATCAGATAAGGCCTCTGTGGGTTTTAAAAAAAAGGTTAAAATAACAGGAAATAGCACCAATGTTACACAGTTTACTACTGTCATTTACAATTAAAAGACACACATACAAGCACACACAAACCATGGAAAATAAAATATCCTGTTTTCCTTGAAGTGTGATAATGTATATAAGTTACAATACAAATGCTCGCTATTATTTTAGTTTATGATTTAAAATGGGAGCACAGCCAAATGTCTTAATATTTCAAGAGAATAAAGATGACAATGTTTCATACAATACTGTTATTTTCATGCTGATTATTTGGTCTATGTAGCAAATAAATAAATAAATAAATAAATGCTCTTACTTAATTGTTCTGGTAATTGGCAAGTTACAGGTACTAAGAACCAGCAACAACACTTCAGTGTTGGAAAGTCTGGATTCTGAAACATGCATTATAAATTACTATAATACATACATATACAGATGAAAAATGTCACATGTATTGAGTTTGTCTCTTCAGTGACTTCAGAAAATTACTTTTTTTTTTTTTTTTTTACAATAAATGGAAGTTATTTTTCTAGTAATTATGCAGTCTGCTGACTAATACAAACTGAAAGGTTATGAGATACAGTGAGAACATGCACTCATGTTCTCACTGTATCTGCAGCTGCTGCTGTTGGGGGGCCACAGAGTCAACTGTCAGCCCGTTGAGATAGACTAGGTCAGGAAACAGATAACACACGATCTACTGGAACTCTATCGTTGTCAGGTATACAGTGGTGCTTCAAAGTTTATGAACCCTTCTGAATTTTCAATATTTCTCCAGAAAAATGCCCGTTGTTCTCTTATTGGAAAATACTTTGGCTATCTCTGGAGAAGCTGCTTGCCAAGGATGAAAAAGCTTTAGTAGTCCCACTTCATACTTGAACCACATACCAGCTGAAATTCTTCAGTAATGAGCAAGCATTTGTGTTAGCCTGTGCGATCTGAGAGCAAAAGGAAGTATAATCATATTAACAATCCCTTCCTCTGTGAAGAAAACTCCTGGTTGCAGACATGACCTTGAAAGAAGAAAGGAAGATGGCTGCATGAGCCACTCAGCAGATACTCCACTTCATTCCAGCAGACAGGGTCCTGCTCCATCTAGGATTCTCATTGGTGGACCCACATATACTATCCTCATGCTTGGTATATCATCGAGGAGAAAAGAGATTTCATCTGTTGGCTTGAATAGTAACATTGAACACTCTTTTCTGCACTACCTGAGCAAGAAGATGAGAAGATAGACTCACTTCAGTTTTAGGCAACCAGTGCTCATATCTAACTAGATCTAGCAACTGTTGTGGTTCTGTCTCTTATCTGCTAACCAGCACCCTGAGCAAGACTGTTCTCTGGAGCAGGTTACATTGTGACACTCCATGATTTAGTGGCACCGCTAAGCCATGCTTCCTGAGACAAAACTGCCTCTATGGATTTCTTCTGGAACTGAGAGCTAGCTCATTGGCAGATCCCTGGCAGTCACTTGCCCACTGTCTATCTCTCAAAGCCAATGGGAATGCTGTTTCGTAGACATTAACTCATCTGGGTAACACACACAGCAGGGCATTGACTCACCTGAGAAAGTCATACTGAGATACAGTGGGGCAAAAAAGTATTTAGTCAGCCACCAATTGTGCAAGTTCTCCCACTTAAAAAGATGAGAGAGGCCTGTAATTTTCATCATGTAATTTTCATCATAGGTATACCTCAACTATGAGAGACAAAATGGGGGAAAAAATCCAGAAAATCACATTGTCTGATTTTTAAAGAATTTATTTGCAAATCATGGTGGAAAATAAGTATTTGGTCACCTACAAACAAGCAAGATGTCTGGCTCTCACAGACCTGTAACTACGTAATTTTCATCATAGGTATACCTCAACTATGAGAGACAAAATGGGGGAAAAAATCCAGAAAATCACATTGTCTGATTTTTAAAGAATTTATTTGCAAATCATGGTGGAAAATAAGTATTTGGTCACCTACAAACAAGCAAGATGTCTGGCTCTCACAGACCTGTAACTACGTAATTTTCATCATAGGTATACCTCAACTATGAGAGACAAAATGGGGGAAAAAATCCAGAAAATCACATTGTCTGATTTTTAAAGAATTTATTTGCAAATCATGGTGGAAAATAAGTATTTGGTCACCTACAAACAAGCAAGATGTCTGGCTCTCACAGACCTGTAACTACGTAATTTTCATCATAGGTATACCTCAACTATGAGAGACAAAATGGGGGAAAAAATCCAGAAAATCACATTGTCTGATTTTTAAAGAATTTATTTGCAAATCATGGTGGAAAATAAGTATTTGGTCACCTACAAACAAGCAAGATAGGTGACCAAATACTTATTTTCCACCATGATTTGCAAATAAATTCTTTAAAAATCAGACAATGTGATTTTCTGGATTTTTTCCCCCATTTTGTCTCTCATAGTTGAGGTATACCTATGATGAAAATTACAGGCCTCTCATCTTTTTAAGTGGGAGAACCTGCACAATTGGTGGCTGACTAAATTCATTTTTGCCCCACTGTACATTGGTCTAATTCATGTTAGGAATGTGCAAAATGCTCTGATATCAAAATAGTAGCTTCAATAAAATATATTTGTGGTGAGCTGATCTGAACAAAACCTGTTTCGAACAATGTTTCAAATGTTCTGACCATTTTGAGGGCTCTGTCTGGGTTGTTATTCTGTGGCTTATGTTTGAGTTTCTTTTTCCAAAGTTTTTCTCATGAAGCCGATGAGATACAGCAGCAGGGGCAGTCATATCTGCTACTGCTGATTTAGAGTGAATGGAATAATGGAGGAGGGGAGCGTTGAGAGGAAAGCAACAGTTAAGCACATGGCCAAATGGAAGACGACTGCTGCAAACGCCTGTTGGCCTGCTTGGGAAATCTTTTTTTTTTTTTAAATTCTCTTCTGCATGGAAAGTACATATGGATGAACAAGCTACACGTTCCTGTATGCTTATGTGCTATACTGCGTTTTATTTTGCAGGCAAGTAATGCAAAAAGTGTGTGTTGTGTGTTCATACATGCATTACTGTATTTCACACAAGTTACTAATGCTGTTTTGGTTTATTTGTTGAGATCTGGTGTACACCTACATTCTGTGTAGCTTCTGGCATGCTACTAATGTTGGGCTTCAAGGTATTTTTAAGATTGCCAAATCTCTGTCAACTTGTTGAGTGTTTAGTATATATATGCACTTTGTACATGCTCTTGTGCTGTCCTGCTGAGCTTTCAGATTGTATTTAAAAATGCCAAGGATGAAGAATTGTATTGCTTTGGGACTGGCAGCAAATAACCTGTTTTGTGGTGCACTGTTTTGTTGCTCAACTTTCGCTGATTCAGCTCTAAGTATATATGCTTCTTTCATCCATTGAGCATTTCAGAACGCATTTTTCTTGGTAGTTGAACAACCTAAGACAGTATTGTTTGTTGTTTTTCTTTTACTATTGTACTGTTCAATAAAGTTATATTTATTAATACAAGAGTTATAAGCAGCACAGCTGCAGTGCAAACTGATTTTTAACTTTAAAAAAAAATAGAAAACAATTTTCAAATCTGAGGCAAAGAGTACATTTTGGCTGGGCTGCTTCTGCTTGTTCTTTTGTGGAGATAAATGGTGCATCTGCTAACTTTTTTGTGGGGGCATGTTAGATATCCAGCAGCAGCCCACTTCTTCTGGTGGTGCAGGGGTAACAAATAAGGGAGCAATATTTGCTTTGCAGAATGAGAGGGTGAGTAGGCCACTATGCAATTCAGAATCACTCACCTTTCAGTGATGCTTAAGCACAGTGCTGCCACATTAAACTCCAAGATATTAATCAGCCTGGGATGATGCAATACTGATTCGGTATTGTGTGTAAATTTTGTTTAATGATAAGTATGGCCCTGAAAATATTATATACTTAAATGGATGCAACATTATCCCGACTCAGAAAGGAACCACATTCAACTTAATGGACGTTACTTCATGAAAGTTTGTTCTAATTAGTACTGTCTAGCACAACATTATTTTACAAAATTACAAAAGCAAACATTGTTCTGAAATATGACCATCTCATCAAAGCTGAATGAAATCCATTTCTGAAAACAAATGTCAAACTGTACATCTTGAGCGCTCACATAAATGTAGAACCCTCCAATTTGGCAGAAAAAAAAATGTTTGAAATCCTTGGGAACTTCACTTTGATGTCCATCCAAAATTTTAAAAAATTAGAAGTAATATCCTAACAAATATTTACACATACAAATTCAAACACATACAAAAATGGCATTCCCTTTGAACAATGCAAAGATGGAATTAAAACCTATGAATATACAATTGGATTAAATAATGCTTTTTTGATTACATCATATCTGAAGCAGTACAATATCTTTATTGTGAAATATTTTGGGCATTAGAGAATCACCAATTTGCAGAGAGAATAATTATGATCACATTTGAGTTGTTTTTCCATTGATTCCACATTCAATCAAATAAATACCATTGAAACAGGTTTTTCCCCGAATACTGTTAACACTAAAAATTTAACACTCAGAAGTCTATAATTCCTCAGAAAGTTCCCAATACATGATTTTCTTTACTGTATTTTTAAAGCATTAATGCCTCCTCACCTTAGCCAATGAGAGATTTCAGGAACTCAAAGCTATTGACAGGTTGGGGATTCTCTGCAGAACAAGAAAAACTTATGCTTAACATGGTGTTTTAACACACTTAAGACACAAAATACAGCACAATCTAGGTTGCAGTTCTTCCCACTTATTTACTGATTCCAATGGGCCACTATAGAATATAACTTACAATTAAATTCAAATAAATGTAAAGGCTGAAGATTTTTCATCTGAACAGCAGTGGCCAGAATAGATATTTACTTTTTTAGGATTACTGGTGTCCCATAACCTTGAAAAAAGGTTAAAAACCTAAAAAAAAAAAAAGCCCAAAACACTCCCAAACCTAATCCATTCCATTTACTCTGTATTAGTCATTTTGTCATGTTTTTATTATAGTCACCATTTTTTTGTCTCACAAGAAGGTAAATAGTGGGAAGATATTACCTTCTCAAAGATAATACGGGACATTCAACTTCAAGTGGTAATTGTATCTATTGGGTGAAGTCAATAAGAATCTCATCCATATCACAAGAGACCAAAACTCTCTGAAAGTTTACTCTGGATTTTTGCTTTGTTTTTTGCAAGCACATGCAAAGTTTGAGCATTTTAAGCCACACGCAACTCCAAAGTGGATAGTGAAGAGGGATACAGGAAAATGGTCACTTGTCTGCTGATATAAAACCTCTTTTCTTAAATGTGCCAGAATAATTTTTCTCCATAACCCTCAAGCACACTTAAAATCTTTAGTCTATTCATTATGGTTCTTTTATAGTATTTTTATTTAATAAAACCTATTAAGACTACCATACAAATCTCTTTACTTATGCTTTTATCTTTTAACTGATCAATTTTTATATTGCTGACATCTCCTCTTCACCATTTGCTCATTTAAAAATTCATAGTACATGAACTATGTCTCTGGAGAAAATGTCTATAAAATTTGTTACAGCTGGCAAATGTGTATGAGTCAGTGATAGCACATGACTAAATGCTTCACAGAAAATAAAACTTGTTTCTGTAGTAAGCAGAACTGTTTAAATGTTATTTATTTTTATGTTTCAAAGAAAATATATTGTGAAGTGCTGCATTGATTTAATACGCAACATTGTCTGTGTACACGCTGTACAAGGAAAATTTATGAAACCTTTGCACAACTCCTTTAATTGAATTTTCCAAATCTCTCACCACACACAAATAATCAATATCTTCTGCAGAGAAAACCAGTCAGAATTATTACCGACTTTCTTTTCAATTTTGTTGTCATCAGCACATAGAGAGCACCTGGATATTTATAATGTCTGGATAGCAAGTTATTTACACCTCTTTAAATGTAATTGCTATTAATCGCCTCCAGTGTGCCTTCCCACACCCTGTTTTATTTTAAATAACCATTACATGTCTGAAAGAAAAGAAACTGGTATTCTTTTGGAGCGTTTGTAGTCATGTACACTGTACTGATAAAAATTTATAATTTAAATTTTCATTTCACTTGATATTCATATTTCTGTGTTATTGTAAAGCTCACTGAAAGAAAAAAAATTACAACAAATGAGAACGTACAACAGTTGGATCCAGGTTCATGATGCAATGCTGGAAGGCTTGCCTATAAGGAATGCAACTTGATAAGTCAGTGTATGTTTGGGAGTATTTGTCTAGTTGGTTTTGAATATATCTGAAGACACTCAGTTATATATCTTATGTAAATGTGTATCACAGCCAACCAGATGAATAACATTTAATCTACAAAGTATAGAACATTATTGAAACATAGTTTGCTTTCAAAATAGCTAACATTACTGTAATCTATGATGCTACATACCCTGAAAGCTGTATTTTAAAATTAACATCTCAACTACTGCTATGCTAAAGATTAAGACAATCATTTTTTATACAATGAAAAAAGCATTATCCTACAGTATTCAGAGGTCAAAAGAATAATGAAGTACTAACCATTTTTCTTCCTACTAAGTAGCATTTCTCTGCTAGACAGATTAAAATATCAGGTAAAGCAAAAAATGCCACACGAAAATCAATACAGCCCAAACTTAGTTTCTTTACAAAATAGTTTCAAGAGTGGTTCAGTCTTCAAAGGGAAGTAAGACCACAATATTGTACACTCACTTTTCTGAGAGCCTATTGAACTCCAAGGAGTTTACCTCTGAGTAGACATGTATGGGATTGCAATGCAAAGTTTCTGTCTTACAGCGTGCTATTGGAATGTATTTCTGAGAAATAAACCACAGTATTAGCCATACTGAATATACTAGGGATTGCTTTTGAGGATATATGCATAGGATTGGACTCTAAGAATGTATTAAAATTGTAAAAGTATTAAGAAAAATATTGTAACAAAGATAATGCCACAGTGAATGGTATTATTTTATAGGTAATCAAGTTTGATTTGCAAGTGTAAAAAAACCCATCTTTGACAGACAGGCATAAAATGCTGAAAGGTCATTAAACAAGAACATCAAACCCCTCTTATTTTGGCTAAATTTATAAAATGTCTTACTAAGTTACACAGTGATTTACCATGAGCCAGTTTTCCATGAGCCAGATGTGCTGGACTACAACTTCCATTATTTCCAGCCAATGTTATTTTGAATCCCTTACACAGCAAGCTCAGAATATACTTTTTAAATGGAGAAGATAACAGTTTATCAGGCAACTGCTTGCTATGACCTGTAGTCTGCATTCCAAACTTCTCAGCTGATGCAGCACCTGGCTGACCTTGGCTGGACTGGGAAGTCAAGCAGGGTCAGGCCTGGGGAGTATCTGAATGGGAGGCCACCAGAGAATTCCAGGCAATAACCTGTTGTGGGGAAAGGAAACAAACTGACCAAGCGTGTTGGTAGAAAACAAAGGCAAACCACTTCTGTACTGTTGATAAGAAAACTGCATGGATGTGTCCATGTAGTCATTAGGAGTCAAGCTCAAATAGAGGTGTCTTAGTTTTATACCACCATTAATAAAGAGATAAAACTGTTCATTCTGTCCAACATAGGAAAGGAACCCTGAAGCTATGAATGCATATCAGAATGGGGCATGCTACTAAAAAAGTGCCAATGCAAGCTTTCAGCAGTCTATGAGCTGTTGAGTGATCCAGCCTTCAAAACTCTCATTTCTGTCCTGAATCTCTTCTCTCCATACTCATTTTAAATATTAAAGATTACAAAGTAGACAACAGAAGTTGAAGCTGTTTTAAACACAGTGGTGCCATCCATTGCCTGTGCTGCAACAGCCATTGCAGTTTCTTTGAACTGCCACACAATAGAGGAAACCATAACCCTAGTTTTCAATCAAAAAGATCCATCATCATCATCTTCAAACAGGATTGGGACAGACTTCTGCCAAAGCCTGGAGAACATGGCAAGTTAATGTAGGTAGCCCTGAACTAGATGGACCCATGGCATTTTTTTAACACAATGTGTTTGTGGTGCTTTGTCTTGGACACCACAAACACATTGGTAACAGATACTTTTGTTTCCTAATCAACTGGAATTTGCCCAGTGAATAAGCACCGCTTTTTCTATCTGGCACAAGACAGACGCCTCTCCCCAAGTGTTCAAGTACTGTCCAGGACTCAGCAGGATAAAGGTTAATTGTGTTTGGATTCGCTCCTCCAAATGCTGAAACAAAAATTCCCCTTGGAAATATGCAGCGCCCATCCTACACATATACATAGCATGCTTTAGGCAGCAGCAACACAACTAGATTTCATCTCCTGGCAGCTGCTCTCAAGTTTGCTTACATTTTCTTCAAAAAACATTTTGTTTACTGTAAATGCTAGTCATGGGCAAACAATGGTGCTATTTTTTATGCTGCTAATACAAAATGATATGCTAAGATCAACATAATGCTGTCCATTGATGAAGGAATGTTCTGAATTAAGTTGTTTTAAGTAGAGGTTGTTTATGTAAAGTAAATAAATTTCATGCCTCACCATGTGATGATAATGTGACATTCCATCGGTACCAAGCCAAATAATAGTCCAAAGTTCTATGCCCTGAACGTAACTAATTAAAAATAATTATGGAAAACCACATCCAAAAGTAAAAAGCAAAATAAAAGACTATGTTCCTTCTTCAGTTCCCCTTCCTTCTTTGCACAATTATTTTTAACACTCCCATTCTTATCAGGACAGCAAAATAGATTTAATTTAACTACTGTAATGGGGACACTTCATCAAGGCCAATAGCCATTGTTCTGCATGACTTCCATGAATTGGTCCAACCTTTTTTGAAATCAACCTACTCCCATTACAGTCGTTAAAATTAATGTTGTTAAAATCTAAAAAAAAATTTTTGTGTTCCACAACCGATTTCATATACCATGCTAAATTCCAGATGTTTTTTTTTTTGTTAAATAGACCTTTAGCATTCAAGATGGAAGAAATCATCTCAATTCAACATATTATTAATAGCTGTTCTTGAGCACAAAAAAAGTCAATATTTTGTTTTGTGCTTGTGTTAATTAGTAACCATATTGAAAGGAAGTTTTGAGGAGACTACGGTATTGATAATTAAACTTGGAATTTACTATCATGAGATGTGGTGCTGGGTACCAGGTTGGTTGATTTAAAAAAAAGTTGGACCAATTAATGGAAGTCATGCAGAACAATGGCTATTGGCCTTGTTGAAGTGTTCCTGCCTCTGAAGGTCATCTACTGGGAGACTAGTGGGCTTCCTTGTGGAGGTGGTTGGCCACTGTGAGAACAGACTGCTGGACTAGATGGGCCAGGGGAACAATCCAGCAGGCCACTGCTTATGTTCTTCGTTCTTTTCATTAGCTAATGGCCAATTTTTAAAATAACCACTGATTTCAAGACCAGAAGAATTCCATCATGTTAACATTTTAAAACCTCAACTAGCTCCTTTGATCTGCTTTTATCTTCACTGGAATTTGAGGACTGTATCCAGTTTGACTGATTTTTCTGAAATTATAAAATAGTTCATTATTATCCATAGATAATATAGTGGGGGGGGGGTGTTTCTCTTGTAGCTATGCTATACTTACTAAATGTTTGCTTGATTTTTTCCCCAATGATCAGGAGAGGGGAAAAAAAAGAAGTTTAGTTCACACATAGCACTATCCTCAAAGCTTGTATGATTTCTCTCTCCATCACTCCTGACCTAAACAATTCAGAGCTGGAAGCCACAATTTGAACTAGTTTTTCAGCTGTGGTTTGAAGCCTGGCTATAATTATAAAATAAGGAAAGTTTTTATGTTATGCTCTTTGTTTAGTGAAAAAGGACATCTTTCTGAATAAAGCTTCAAAGTGGCCCACAATAAATATTAAGAAAATACTGAAAAATAGAAGCATAATCACAGAAAGGAAAATTAAAAGAATACCAGTAATAAAAGTAACCATCCCAAGATAAAGTGATCCATGTAAAAGTGACACAGTGGTAACTCGGTCTGCGATCCAACAGGTGTGGGTGGCTAAAATGACCAGGAGAAATCTCTAAAGTAACTCTTAACTCAGATTTAACTGCCTAATCACCCTTTCACCATTCTGTTCAATATCAGATAAAGACTGTATACTACTGTCTAC